TTCTCAAACTGTGGTACTAGTGGTACGCGGGCTTCCTCCTAGTGGTACGCGGAGGAATCGCTGAATAATGAAAGAAACAATTAACACTTTTAATCCTTTAATGCGTAATATAACATTGATGTGATCAGCATTGGCTGTTTTGTGAAGCGTACGATCACAACGCTGTGCTTAGAGTGTTTATTTTAGTGCATTGTGTCATAAGCTGCTGAAAATCTGGGGGCTGTTCCAGAAAGCAGGTTATGTGACATACCCGGGTAAGTTTGAGAGTAAGTAGGTGGATAACCTCAACTTTGGTTCCAAAATCAGAGGTAACTTCTGGGTATGTTAAGTAGCCATAGCAACTTACTCTCTGAAGATAACCTGCTCCGGAGCAGGTTATGTTCAGAGAGTAAGTTGCTATGTTTAAGAGTTTGTCTGTTTCAGAAAGTTTACTGAGCATTGCGTGCTCTTTTGATGGGAATGTTTATGGATGTGGACACACAGATACAAGTTTTTTCGTTGTGAGAGGGTTATAAGTGCATAGTTTTTTTCATAACCAAATTCATAATGTTAATGTATTTAACAAACCTTTTTGAAATCAAATGTGACAAATCCCGGGTCTGCGCTTACCATAAAAAACATTCAGTGCAGCTCTCTGTATTTGCGTCAGGGCATTTTAGGCAACTGTAAAATGTGGCAGTAGGACCACCTGTACAGTATGCCTGGCACTGAACTGTTTTTTACACTTTTGTACAGTTCCTTGGTCATAAATCACTGCGTATCATTACACAGATGATTCAGAGCACGGCAATAGTGTAGTGGACAGTGCGTCGTTAAAGAACAACGGTGCGCACAACGGAGCGAGTTCGAATCTCACTTACAGATCTTGTGTTTTTTCTCTCCTTCTGCACCCTCACATTTTTCTGTATAATATTATAGGTGGCAGCTTTGTCTTTTGTAGGAAAATATATCTTTAATTTAAGATGTAGGACGTCGTTCTTATATATACATTCACGCACACACACCTACATTTTTTAATATAATATTTTTTTCAGGGTTTCTAAATGCTATTGTGTGCATTAATTGCAGCCGATTTTAAAGCTCCATCAGTCACTAAAGGACACTGATAATATAAAATTTGTCCAAAGTATAAGTGTGCAGGTGCAACTTAATTTTCTATCCTTAATCTTGGTGTGAACTTATTGCTGCTTCCACCTACCAGCTCATATGTGATGACCCCACCTCATCACTATGTTGAGGCTAAATGGCTGATTTTCAGGAAGTAATGATTCAAGTGTATAACACAAATATAGTAAAAAAAACTATAAAGCAAATGTTGCTTTACACAATGTTTATTTTTATTATATTTGTATTATAAAATAGAATCATTACTGGGCACTACATTGTTACTTGCTGGAGGACAAAAGATACCCTTTTCTGCCTTATACGATGACACGTACCTGCAGCCTGACCCAGAGGAAATCTCAGTGACCCAAGCAGACAAAACAGATGGAAGAGTGCTAAAAATATATAATTAGTCAAAAAAACATGTTTAATCAAATACTTTGGTCTGTTCATTTCTTCATTTCCTGAAATAAAATGAATGATTTTGTACACTGCTTTATACACACCTTTCAACGTGTAACATATTTTTCATATACATTTCTCACCTTAAGTTGATGCTCATGTGACTTTATCTTTGAAGATGGACCTTATACAGCTACTTTAGAATTTAAATATGTAGATAAAAGATTTTGTGATCCAAGAGTAATATTCAAATATGGAAAAGTGCAGAAAATTATTACACTGCTTGTTAGTTGAGGCAGAAGGAACTTCGGCTGCATGCAAAATAAAAAGAACCTAAAGCTATCTGACAACAATCACTTACAACAGTAACAGAGTGTGTGGTTTAAGTCAAAAACTCAACCACTGAAAAGCCTTTATTATAGGACACAGCAGTTAGACTAGCCTCTTTCTATTAGCTGCATGTCAGAAAGAATATTCTAGAGTGTTAAATAAAGAGCTCCAGTAATTAAATATTACCTTTTATGATAATGTTTCTGTGTTTAATGACTTTGGACAGAGTTCTAGCTCCAGAAAGATTACAATTTCTATAAGCCTTATTAGTCAATACACATATTGTGGCCTTAAGAAATTAATGGCAAGAAAAATAAATGCATGAATGGTTACACAACATACTTAAAAAGGATGTTAAAGAGTATTTTAATTTATCATTACAATAAAATGGAGGGTGGCATGTGTAATTTAATGAACTAACAAACTTTCTTATTATTTATTTTTTCTTTTCTTATCTATTTCTTATTCTATATTTCTTTCCTTCGTTGAAGCAGATGTGTAATATCTGTGTTTAAAACCTCCAGCTTCGCCTCTGTAAAGTGCGTTGCCCTTTTTTTTCTCACCGTGACTTTCTATGGTGACTCGTGAATCCGGCGATCTACTGAAAATGCCTTCAGGTGTGTGCCGTGCACGCGCATTAACCCGCGGTTATCTTCAGGAGGTTGATTTAACTAACTCTTGTCACCTGTTTTGGAACCAACATACTCGCGGTAAGCAGGTTTTGGGTAAATCAACTGAGAGTTTAGGTTTTAGCAGATGGTAAGTTAACCCAGCTTTCTGGAATACCCCCCAGTTTCCGAAGTTTAAGAATTGATTCTGAAGCGTGATTTGACTGACATGAAAAGTGGCCAATCACAGTCGACCTTGTCTAGTTGCGTGAAACGTAAGGGCGGGACAAAGGCTTTCTGTGTTGCAGAGACAGAAAAAACAACTTAAAAACAAATGTTTTGTTGGAATAATGCTTCTCGGATGTTTTCACTATAGAGATGTCTAGCAGAGTAATTAAACTGCGGACATATTTCCTGCCTTTTTGATGATCTACAAACACATTTCGCTCTCCGACAGCCAGTCGACTCGCCTCTGACCTGTCACTCCTCTAAATACATTCTGAATGGCGGCGCGGGAATGCAGGTATTGCGCAATTACTCATTTCTACAAATGTGGCGTGTGCTTTATTTTAACAAGAGAGCGCATTAATGTACGCAAATCGCTAAAACAGATATGCGAGCTCTTAAATAGGCTTTTTTCAAATGAACAGCAAGTCCTCTCATGATCGCCTGTGTGCTCAGATTGAATACAATCGCGATCTCTCCACTATTAAAGTAGACATTATTTATCTTTGCTCCTTAACTAAATTTAGTCAAAAGTATTCAAAGTTATCAAATATTTAGAAATAGATTGATGCATGATCGATGACAATGCTAATGGTCTTCTTATTTGGCTGTGTTGTGAAGTGAAACTTACTTTTAGCAAAGGTGGAACATTTTTTATTTCTTTACGACAAAAGAATTATGCTGGAAATGTTTCTGGATGAGGTATTTGTGTGATTTATACATTTAGCTGTATTCTGATCTGTGTTAAAGCATTACAGGTCAAAACAATCCATTGTTAGTCTACTTATTGTTTATTTATCACAATTTACAATAAGGCTCTTAAAGCACTGCTTGATAAATGTAGTATCGTCATATTTCAAATACCTCAAGTAAAATGAAGTCATTTGTTTTATTTTTTTACTGACAGTGTACTTGTATTTTTTTACGTTTCTATTTTAGATTAAGATCAAGTGTAAAATAAAATCTACATGTGATGTACAGCTATTTAAGAAACAAATTTGCCATATTGTAAAGAAAATAGTGTAAAATATGTAAATAAAAGGCTAAATTTAAATCTTTTTACCATATACTTTAATTTAACCTTTCAAAGCTTAAAAATATATATTTTTAAAAATGGGCAAAAAGTGTCTTTATGCCCTTAAAGATTATTTGGTAGTTTTACCAGTGCTATTGAAAAAGATTAATTGTCATGAAAGGAAAAATTGACTATACTTCCTTTGTTAGTGCAAATTATACATGTAGCTTTGGAATGTAAGCAATCAAACCATTAAATCAGGTTTACACTTAAAAAAAAAGTGATTTCATAATGAAAATCAGATTTTTTTTCAAAAGTAACCAACTAGTACTTTTTAAAAGAGTAATTTGTACTTTTACCTAATATTAGTATTATTTACTAAAAAAAATTTATTTTAGCAGTGTAATAGTATTTTTACTTGAGTACAAAAAAGATTTCACAAGCACTTAGTGCAGGTTTATTATATTATTAATATATGATTCATAAATATTATTATTAATGGTTTTTATTTGTATCTATTCCTATGCAATGTTTTATGGGTTGCTGAGAATACATTTCAGGTCTTCAATACATAGCATGTCAGTCTTAAAAAAAATAGGTGCTGGAATTGATTTTTATTAGGCTGTGCCTGTATGAATCCTGTCATGTACATTTAACATTTATTTCAAGATTTGTCTGAAAGTGTATGAATATGACATATAGCCTATATTTATAAGGTCCAAGCAGCATTTCCAGCTTTTGATGAATAGGCTACTATGAATACTTTAGATTTAAGTACAGCAGTTTTCTTTTTACTTTTTAAGAACAGCGCCATTTTTTTATGAACTTTTAAGACCACATTTTAATTAAAACTTTTTTTTTTATCTGCAAGCACAGTTAATGTTCAGACTATTTCAAATGTTTAAAGTGACTGACAATAATACATATTCTTACTAATGGGAAGTAATCTGCATCGTTTTAAAACTGTGCACACCTGTAGCTGCTTAATTAGGCTTACGACGCTATTTTTTAATACTGGTTAAAAAATAGCGTCGTAAGGTGGTACTTGGAGAGACGAATTTTTTCTAAGGTGGTACTTGGTGAAAAAAGTTTGAGAACCACTGATCTAAGTTAATCAATTTGTGTTGAGAAAACATGAAGCACGTCAGCATTTTCAGCACCTGCATGTCAGATAAACATCCTAATTTTGGCCTAATTTATGTGTAAAAAGAAAGACTTCTACATGTGTTTCTAATCAAATAACCACATATTATTTTCATACAAAGTGTTTCTGTCTGAGTGGTTCTGAGAGAGAACAAATAGTTTAATTAATCTACCTGTTGTATTGAAGTTACACACAGTGCTTCAATTCACCCGTTTTCATCTTCTTCTTCGCGCTGCAGACGTTTGACTTCCACATGTAAACTAAAAGTCAAAATAAACACTTAAATCACTGCCCTGTCACTTTCTCGTTATTTCTAAACACCCGCTCCACCGTCTCTCTCTCCCGCCTCAACCGAATGTTGTTCACATCCTGCTAACAGACTGACAGACAGCGCAGCGAACCAATGATCGTTCAGAACTCGAAACATTGCTGATTTGACGACCAATAGGGAACCGAGTTGCAGTCAGATAGGTGGGACTCTTTTAGAGAAAGGTGCAGGTCTCCATGGGAACATGCCAAACACACACACACACAGAGCAGCAGATGAAAATGTCTTCATCCCTGGAGTACAGCGCTTGAAAAAAGTCTCTTGTTAGTAACCTGTACATTTGTCACAATTTATAAACTTAAGATATTGTAGAGGTTTTGTTTCAATAAGTAAATAACAGATTTTGTACACTATAACACATTAAGATGATATGCTAATGTGTGAAACAAGGAGATGGTGAGTCTCCAAGTCTTATAAATCATACAGGATTTATTTTTTCTTCAGAATAAATAGGGTTAGGTGTAAGGCAATATACAATACAATTTGTAGAGTGTAAAAACAATGGAAACCTATGTCCCCACAATTTATTAACAGTTTACAACCTGTGTGTGTGTATGTATTATATATTAGGGCAGGGCAAAGATTAATAGCATCCAAAATACATGTTTGTTTTGACATAATATATGTCTGTGTATTATTTTTATATATCTATTATGTACAGTATGTTATACACACATACATATGTATACACACATACATAAAAACTATAGACAGACTATACATACATAAAACTATACATACATAAAATCATACAAAACGAATTTTGTTACATAGTTGCAATCATAATTAGTAACCCCCCTGAATTATTAGCCCCCCTGTTATTTTTTTCCTCAATTTCTATTTAACAAAGAGAAGATTTTTTTTAACACATTTTTAAACATAATAGTTCTAATAACTAATTTCTAATAATATTTTATTTTTGCCATGATGACAGTACATAATAATAGACTGGATATTTTTCAAGACACTTTTTTACACCTTAAAGTGACATAATTTTTACCTTAAAATGGTTTTTAAGGCCAGGCCAGAATCACAGTGGCAGGCCACTGGGAAATGTCCCGGTGCTCCCTATGGCCAGCCCCTGTATATATCTCCAATTTCTTTCTGGGTTTCTTCAAGGCATTATTTTATTTAGAGTTACTACCTGGGCAAATTGAGGTTGCAAAAAGCATTGAAAAAAATCAAATTTGAACCAATATGTATTTGAGAAAAATATATTTTCTAATGACTTTTTACTCGTTTTCATTTGTTTTATTTTTTAATGAAATGTAAGTTTTGAGATTTTTCTTCGCTCATATAGATCAACGGTGTCGATAATTTGACCACAGCAGTCTATATGAGGACAAAAGTGTTCTTTATGTCAGGGACATAATGTATATAAATATGTATGTAAAAATATACATTTCAAGATGCACCGAACAACACAGAAAGTTTTAAAATTAAGAAAAAGGTAAATATCAAATGTATTACCCTAAAATATAGTCCTACCACAATTTTTGGTGCCATGCAAGTCTTGGCCTGACCAACAGTACACATACTGTACATACATACAATCTAAAAAACATAGGGTTAAAAACTACCTTAATTGGGTTGTTTTTAACCCTATACTGCAGGGTAAATATGGGACAGAACACATCAGGAGTTAAATTAACCTAAGTACTTGGGTTATTATTTTTAACCCCATAAATAGTTTGTTTTTCTACCCAATTATTGGTTATTTTTAACTTAAATAGTAGGTTAATTTGATCAAAAAAATGCCTTCGAAAGATGACCCAGCAATTGTGTTGTTTTGACTCGGCATCACTGAAACACGATGAGGGACGCGCAGCTTTGATTACAGGTGTACAAAAGGTGCTAGTAAAAAAATTTTTGATTCAGAAAGGTCTAAATACGGGCCGCTATGAGCATAAATCTCATTTTAATCATCTGAAAATGCAAGGAATCTGCGTTTAGGTTACACTATTTTCATTGCATTTAAATTAATTAATTAATAATAATTTAAATTAATTAGTTAAACCCAAAGAGCTGGGTTGAAACTACCCAAGACTTTGAAAATCACCAAAATGCCTCAACCCAAGATTTTTGGGTAGAAAAAATAACCCCATATTTTTTAGAGTGTAGGCCTACAGTATATAGCTTATTCTCATAACAATTTTCTTTCAAAAATATCAGGAAAAAAATGGTTGTATACATTTTTATTTTTGTCAGCAAATGGTAATTGTTCAGAATAACTAATGTTTTCAGGTTATTCCAACAGTTATAGATTTTTATTCCACCAAAAATGTATTTCTTCTATGTCCGAAAACATAAAAGAAAAATATAAATGACTTTAAAATTAACTTAAAAACAAATTTTGTTTTGATACAAATGTTTTCAAACTATAAACTATAAATTCAGACAAAACCAGACTTTTCAAGTGGTCTTTTAATTTTTTTCTATGGCTTAATGTACTGCTTCAATAAGTCAGATATCTTACTTGTACTGTAGCAGTGCATGGAAACAGCTGCTAATGAGGCATCTAACTGAATCTGATAGCCTAGGGCTCTTAAACAGCTTTTGTTTGAGAATGATAAAATAGGCAAAGTGTTTAATTTTAGGATTTTAGGTGTTAATAACTCAAAATGACTAATACACAGTTGAGTTTTTTTATGAGCCCTTATGCTTGATTAAATTAATTACATATGCTTGCCAGAGCATACGCGTTTATGGGGACATTTAAATGGCTGACATTAAGAATTCATAGAGGTTTTAGCTCTTTTTACTATTATTGATGTTGTTTTGTTGTAAATAGTTGTTTTGTTTGATTACAATTTTCTGTGTTCAGCTGGTAACCTACTTTATGTTGTGTCCAGTTTAATGATCATTCTGAGGTGAACTAGGCTCAGCGCATAAGTCATCATTTATTTTCGTGTGTATTAAAGCATTAATATCATGAACTACAGTAGGTGAAATAAGCATTATTTGGCAGGTACACAATGTGATAAGACATTAATTTTTGGTTAGATTTAGGTCGTGTTGTCAGGTGATCAAAATTCAATGCATGTTTTTTGATGTCCAATAATGACATCAAGTGATGTTGATATTTTTTTTTTTTTTTTTTAGGTTGCTTTGGTACGTAACCAAAATCCAACATTCAGCATCTTAAATCATATTGACGTCAAATACTGACATTTTTTCATCAGGTATGGCAACCAAAATCCAACATCTAATAGATGTCATAGTGGTAATGTTCACACAATGTCAACATCATTAGACATTGATATTTGGTTGTTTTTAGGTTGCGTTAGAAAGTGACCCAAATACAACACCTGTCTGACGTTGGACACGATTTTCATTTTCACCCAAAATCCAACATCCCAAACACATCAATCTAATGTCCTTTTAATGTCCTGTGCCGGCTGGGTAATTTCATAAGTTGCTTTAAATTAACACAGTGCTTAATTTTACTTTTTTTTTAACCATTATTGTTATATAGCATTGATATAATTTATAAATTTGGACCAATTCACCCGAAATGTGTGTGTGTGTGTCTGCTTTAATGATATATGAACATATTTGAAGCATTTGTTATAAACCATTTTGGATTAATAGTTAGAATTACTTTTATTTATAGATTTTTGGGAAAAAAAAAAAATGAAGTTTTTTTAGTTTTTCAATACAAATAATATTGTTTTTTTCAAATACAATAAAATAATTCAATAAATTATAATTATTAAATTAATTCATAAATATATTTATTTAAATAACAATAAGGGTTGTTAGGCTACCTGAAATCCAGGTTGTTTTTTTATTGTAAAATAATTTATAAATCAGTACATTTTAGCAAAATATGTTTATATTTTTTCATTAGGAAGTGCATTCGTAAAAGCGTGCGGAGTGGATGTTCAAAGATTACCACTATACACACACTCACAGACACAAAAACACACGATTGTGTGTTTGTGCAGTCCTGATATTCATAATGTAGTGGGGACTGCAAAGGAATAGTCATTCATTCATTCATTTTTTCTTTGGCTTAGTCCCTTTATTTATCAGAGGTTGCTGCATAAAACATATGCTGGAATAGTGGCCGGTTCATTCCGCTGTGGCAGCTTCTGAAAAAGAAACTAAACTAAAGAAAAATTCAATGAAAAGAGAATGTTTTTCTTTGTTTTTTGTTTTGTTTTTTTGTGCCTGCGACATCAAAAAAACTAAGTATTTGCCAGAGGATTGTAAGAAAAGCACACAGTGGATGTGATGTATAACGTTAGCCTTTCTTTATTGTCAGTTATAGGTTGGGGCTGAAGGTGAAATGAAGTCATCAGTTTAATCAGAAGATTACGTGCAAACAAAAGCATTCCTTAGGCTCTGTGAGATTTATCTGGGCAATGAAAGTACATGGCCACCGAAGCCTGTGACTCATGAGCGCACTAAGACTTGGCAATGTCTTTGTTACAAACTGAGATTATTAAAAAGATGTCCCGCAGCAACTCATTATACCATCAGCTTAGGCCATTTTTCTCCTAACCCTTTAATTAAATTCGAATCTTATGAAAAATAAAGAAAAATCAACAGCCATCTAACTGCTGGCCAGCCTGACATTGTGCCAGCAGGCAGGTGCCTTGTCCCTGCTGTGCATCTGTCCCTGCGATGCTTATACAGCTCATTCTCGTGCCCGTTGACCACCGAAATCTGCAGTTTTTCCTCCGGTCCACTCGGTTGTCTGTGTGTGGCTCGTTTATTTCCGCTACACACATGGATCTAGGAATAAATGATTTAATGGAACAGTACATTATACTTCAAAGCGACTACACACCCATCCTTTAAAATCTTTCAGGGCTGCTTTATTGATTTCAAAATTCCTCCGCTTAGTGCTCGAATCTGTCCCATTAACGCTGAATGCTGGTTAGCCGCATACCAATAGTTAATGTTCTCTTTTACAATCAAGACAATGCCATTTTCTATGACATGGCGGTGACAGAATAGCTGTAAAAACACGTCCATTTCTTGAGTGCTTTCTCTCTCTTTGTGTTGTATCTAATTCCACATAAATGAAAGGACATGAAAGTGATTGACTGTGGTGAATAGCTTAGACAGAGAGCGAAAACACAATTATATTGTGTGTAAAACCGTGTCTGTCGTCACTAATTATCGGC